TTACGTGTCACATTTTTTATACGCCCCAGCCAGGCTCGGTTTGCTCTCGGATCCTTCTCGTTTTGCGTGCGTTGAGCTCGCCTTGTTTTCTGTGAGCATAACCTACCTCATTTTGAATGCATGGAGCTCGCCTCACTTTATGTGTGCCTGGGTTCACTTCCTTTTATGCCAGCAGAGCTTGTCTCGTTTTACGTGCACAAATTCTAAATGGAAATATTTTCCATGAGTATTAAGGAAAACATTATAAGGCAATTGGAAGCGACTTGATGGTTTATTAAGCAATAAATGTATATTTCGTAGAATATTTAAGCCGACAACTGTGTGAAAAAAATATAGTAGTGAGGCCGAAAACAATGTCAAAATGAGGTTCTACCCTAGAGAATATCAACGAAAAGTTTTACTTTAATTTTCAAAACTTCACAGTGAGGCGAATGTGAAAACAAATAGATAAAATGGCAAACTTAAGTACAAATGATTAAAACTGGCAACAAACTGTGAATGTTAACCCACGTTTTTTTTTTTTGAAAAAGGCAAATTTTGTATTTGTGCGAAATATTTTTTGTGAGCATTAAGGAAAACAATATAAAGTATTTGGAAGCGATTTGATGGTTTATTGAGTAATAAATGTATATTAGTAGAATATTTAAGCCGAAAACTAAAACAATATGTGAAAAATATGGTAGTCAGGCCTAAAACATTGTCAAATGAGGGTCTTCCCTCATGAATTTCAATGGAAAGCCTTAGCTTAATTTCCAAAATATCACAGTGAGGCGAAGGTCAAAATAAATAGATTGAACAATGATTTAAGTGTGACTGGGCGAGGATCGGTAGAATGGCACTGATCTTTCCCTATTCCAATTTATATACTTTTTTTGAGTAGCCATTATTAAATTCAAATATCTTTAAATTTAGGTTTTAAATCGTTGATTACAAGTGTTTAAATATGAATTATAATAGATTTTGCACGATTTTTTATTTTTATTTTTAAAAAACATGAATATGATAGTTTATTATTAGGATAAGAGTAATTTAAAAAAAAAAAACTAACAAAGAGAAAAAAATTGAAAAGGGGGGATTAGTATGATATTAGCGACTCCAATATAGTCGCTAGTGTGCTAGCGAAGTACCAATCATATCATTTTCATTTTTTTTATTCAATTTTTTGTTTTCTTCCTACCTTACTTATTTAGATTCAAATACCTTTATATTTATATTTATAACATTGCTTTTGAGTGTTTTGACATGGATTACTATCCCAATTCCTTTCATTTCCTTCGGTGTCATTGAGCTAAATAAAGTCCACGCATATTTGTTTAGCTTGTAGAAAGTAGTTATCACTCTCAGTTCACCTTCAAGCGCGGGCTAAGAGGTTAGTAAGCATTGAGATTAAATTTTTTGCACCTAAAATGAGTGTGGCCTCTCTGTGACCCAATTATTGACTGGCACATGTTCATAAACTTAACTTTTCTTAACTTTTTTATCAGAAAACTTAACATGTGTCGGTGAATGATTGGAGCTACAGAGAGGTTACACTTTTTTTTTTGGTGAGGAAAAGCTACTAGGGATGGATTCAGTTCAATTCGGTTTGGTTTTTTGCAGAAACCGAAAACTAAACCGAATTTATTGTTCGATTCGGTTCGGTTCGATTTTCTTTCAGTTTGGGGAGAAACAAAATGACATCCCGACCCGGATTGTCCACTAGGACTTCGGATCGAGTTGTGCTGGCCGACACCTGGAATGTGACGAAGCCATAAAGTATAGTGATGTGGAATATGTGAATAAATTTAAACTTAAAAGTGCCTAAATACGAGAGTGCGCTATGAGTGGAAATGAACCCATTTCACATGTGACATCAGAGCATAAGTAAAATACAGTAGAATTGATTGAAAATCATACCATCGAATGAAATCTCCAATACCAAGATTTGCCACGAATCCTTGTCGATACGAAAACTCTGCTACTAGAACCTAGAGGGATAAAAACAAGAGTGAGTGGGCCTGTAAATAATGCTTTAATAAAGACCTTATAAACGTTATAATCCCTCGTTGTAATATCTGTATAGTTTCCAGGAAATCATACTACGTATGTATGAAATCAAATGTAAATCAACAATAAATCCATGAATATTCCAAATCACTACATATCGGCAACAACATAAAAAAAATCAGGTGCTCATCAATCTATGATAACACATGAGTCGGAGTTGTCTAATGCAACATGTACGACTCATAAATCAATCTATGATAACACATGAGCCAGAGTTGTCTAATGCAACATGTATGACTCATAGGCAACCAGTACGATAATGTCGGAGTTGCCCAGTATTGCAACATGTACGACAGTGTCGGAGTTGCATAAAACACAAATATAGTCATGCCATAACTCAATCATTTCAGATAACACCATAAACTCACCTGAACTTACATGCACGTCCGACGTTCACCTTAATACTTCAAACCATTCACAACAATTATATATAGGTAATATGTATATGGATATAACATGATGCAATCTAAAACTCAACCATATCATAGTATTTTAGAATATATAAATAAATAAATAAATATATATATATATATATATATATATATATATATATATATATATATATATATAACATGGCATAAAATGCATAAATCAATTTAAAAGCGTTTGTGGAACTATCAGTTATATATATACGATAAAAAAGAAAAGACTCACTCACCTAAGGTCCACACTACGACTCCTAGCACGAATATCGAGACGTCAAGAACGGTCATCACCTAGAATAAATATTCAATCACGTCTCAGAACTCTTATCAATAAAATACGTAACTTACATAAAACACATCCCAAGGATGTTCTAGAATGATTTGAGACCCATTGACCAAAAGTCAACCGTCGGTCAAATATTAATGGTAGGGTTCACAACCCTACGTAACTCGATCCGGAAGATCCGTACCTCGGATTTCCGATCCATAACTTCCAAAGATCCACATTATGCTTCTAGAACAACATCCTAAAGTTTTGGAACGATCCAACAGTCAAATCTCCGCCAATTGCTAAAATTAAGTGGCGGCTGATGTTTTATTTTACGAACTTACAAATCTGATTAGGAAAGATCCATACATCGGATTCCCGATCTTTAAGTTCCTATGGTCCTCAAATATTACGTACTATACGATACCAAGATTTGGTGATGATCCAACGGTCGGATCGTCAATTCATGAAAGGACCCCGTGAAGGCCAACTAGGTGGTCAACTACGAAACTACATTAAAACATCGTAATTTCACTAAACGGATGTCAAATATAGAATTGGAACATCCAAATTAGCCAAAGATAGTCAGGTGGGGTCTCGGCCCACGCACCGCCGCACGCGGTGGTTGGCTGCCACTGTTTGCAGAAAAAATTCCACTATTTCTAAAAATTCTCAAATCTCACAGAAATGAAGATCTCAAAGAGAGGAACAACTTTCATACCAGCCACGAAGTCCAAAAGTGGACGGAAGATGGTCAATTTTGCCCACAAAGCCGACGGGTGCCTAAAGCTTCCCAGCATCGATTCGTAGTCTATGGTGGTCCAACAGGGTCAAGGTTGGTCGGGATTTTCTCCTGGGATGATGGGATACAAAGCCCAAGTGGTGGTATCGACAGTTTCTTTGCCGATTCGCTGGAAAATTGAAAAGAGTGGCCGGAGCATTGTTGATTTTTGTCGACTTTCGTGGCCTCAAACTGCCACATACCGTGGTTAATCAAGGTGGTTCTTGGGTGGGTTTTGTAGAGGGGAATGAGAGCTTCAAGATGGTGGTGGTGGCGTCGAAAAACTCCACCGGAGTTGGCCGGAATCAGCCTTGAAAAATGGGAGGTCGAACTAGGTTGTGTGGTGTGCACGGGTTGAGAGGGAAGGGATGAAGTTCTTCTCTCTCCTTCCTGATTGGCTGATCCCTCTCTCTAATTTCTGATTGGTCCTCCTTCTAACATATCTAATTGGTCACTTAAACAAAATAGTTGATTGGTCCCCTTATGCTTGCTTAAAATCTTATTGGTTTCTTTCCCACAAGGTGGGAGTTCAATTTATTTATAGCTAAACTTTATATAACCAATTTCAAACGTCCGTAATTATACCGTTATAATCCAGACTCGTAAACGGCTTTCGCCTATGCTTTCGTGGTAATGATTACTACACAAATACTCCAAAAGAATGACTCATACATCTCTCTAAACAATGGCCAACGGAAGTCAAAATCATTGCCTCTAGGGCATTTTCGTCAATTCACGCTTTTAAAATTTATAAAACGTAAAATTAGGAACAGGTTGTCACACAAAAGATAAAAAAAAGGGCTCAATCAAATTCACCACCACAATTTTCACAGTTTGACAATGAGAAAATGCGAAGTGAAAAACACTAGCAGAACATTGATAACAGCTAGGGAGGAACAAAAGAAAAAGAAGAGGGCTCAAAATTTGGGCTTCGGTTTGCTTTTCAAGACATTGAGTTCGAAAATTGGGCTCAAAAGATAAATACCCAATATAAATAAAATTAATATATTTTCGAACATTAGAAAATGAAACTGAACCAACCACATTTGATTCGGTTTGGTTCAATTTTTCACATTTGGTTTGGTTTTTTTCTTCCGGTTCAATTTTTTCGGCTTTAGGTCGGTTTTCAGTCCAGTTGTTCTCAAATTTTTAAACCCACCCCTAAAAGCTACACCCATTTTAAGAGAAATTTTTAGTTGTGACTGGAACACAAATGGTATACCATGTGTTTTAATAGGAATGGTGGAAAATTTTATTTTTTAAGTTATAACTTTTTAGCACATATATCCCATCATTTATTTGATGACACGTGATGTACCACGTCGTATACCGATCACACTGAAAAATTTATCTGATTTTACATGCAAAGATTTGATCTCGTAAGCATTACGACTTACGAGTAAATAAAAAAAAAAGTCCCAACTTCACAAAGTGGTTGACCTGACCGCTCTATATCAGCACAAAAATCCATCAAAAGCCAGCACCCAACACAAAATGTCCATAAAAAAAAAACCCTCCCTCTCTCTCTCTCTCTCTCTCTCTCTCTCTCTCTCTCTGTTCCAAAATCCTCCAAAGCCTGACAGAAATCATCAGAGACAAGTAAGTCATCTTCTTCCCACTCTTCTCCTTCAAATTCTTTATGCCAAATGTAAAATCTTTCTCAGTTCATATTAAATTCTGGGAAATTTTTCCAACACATTCAGAGGGTAGTAATTTGATTGATTGATTGATTGGATTATTAAGTTAATTAGGATTACGATGATATCTTTAGAGGGTTTTGAGCCCGTAGCTGTTTCTCCCCAGAAACAAGACCCGGCATGGAAACACTGCCAACTTTTCATGAAAGACCAACCCAATGGGGGTAAAGTTGAGTTGAAAAAGTGTATATATTGTGGCAAATTGTTTCAGGGTGGTGGGATTAATCGCCTTAAATCCCACCTTGCCGGTCGGAAGGGCAATGGCCCCACCTGTGATCATGCCCCGCCCGATGTTAGAATCGTAATGTTGCAGAGTTTGAATGATGGGATTGCAGCGTTTAGGCAGAGGAAGAGTCATATTGTTGCTAACCCACATTGTAGCATTAGCGAAGTTGACGGTTCATTAGGCGAAAATGGAGAGTATAAATTGGTTGTAGGACCCGATTCGAATGCGCTGGTGAATGATGAGGAGGTTGGTGGGTTGAGTGGGAATGGAGGAATTAGGTTAACTGATAATTTGACTAATGTGCCCCTTCAAGTAGATAATTCTTATAGGAGTAATGCTCAGCAGGGATTAATTGGAGAGGCCAAATTGTATTTTTCGGTAGATGAAGAGGAAGATGGTGGGACGAGTGTTGATCGAGGAGTACGGCGGAGGGGTAGACCTTCTGGTGGTGCTACCGGTTCTGGTTCAGTTAATGGCGTTACGAAATTTAGTGTTTCCGCTCCTTTTCCTATTTCAGTAGGCAATGCTTTTCCCAATTCAACTTTTTCACAAAACCAAGAAGAAGTTGGCATCAAACTGAATTTTTCTTTAGATCAGGAAGAAGATGTTGGATTGAGTGTTGATAGAAGAGTAAGGCGGAGGGGTACACCTTGTAAAGAAGCTACTGGTTCTGGTTCAGTTAATGGTGTTACGAAATTGAGTAATGCTTCACCTCCTGTTCCTATTGCAATAGGTAATGCTTTTCCCAATTCAAATTTGTTGGAAAATAAAGAAGTTGGCATAAGTAATACAAATGTGAGTGGGAAGAGGGTAAGGGATGAAGATGCTTCGGGGGCTGCCAATGATGGAACCATAGGCAATGATTACGAGGTAACAAGGTTGAGCATTGAACAGATTCATATGGCAATTGGTCGGTTTTTATATGAAATTCAGGCTCCCCTGGATGCAGTAAAGAACTCTGTTTATTTCCAGCCAATGATTGACGCAATTGCCTCTGGGGGAAAGGGGACTGTAGCACCCTCATATGATAACATTCGGGGTTGGATGTTGAAGAATGCAGTTGAAGAGGTGAAGAGTGAAATTCAACAACACACGGAAACATGGGTGAGGACGGGTTGTTCTCTTCTAGTCAACCAATGGAATTCTGAAAAGGGTAGAACTTTGCTAAATTTTGCAGTGTACTGTCCTGAAGGAACAATCTATTTGAAATCTGTGGATGCTTCTTATTTTGTTTTTTCTCCAGATGCTTTGTTTGTATTTTTTAAGGAAGTGGTGGAAGAAATTGGAGTTGGACATGTTTTGCAAGTCATTACAAATACTGAAGAGCAATTTTCTGTTGTTGGGAAGAAGTTGATGGATACGTTCCCTACTCTGTACTGGTCTCCCTGTTCCACCGCTTGCATAGGTTCCATCCTTGAGGATTTTGGAAAAGTTGAATGGATAAATTCTGTAATTGAACAGGCTAGATCTGTTACAAGATTTATCTACAAACATGTTGTCATTTTGAACATGATGAGAAGGTATACATTTGGGAATGACATTGTTAGGCTGGGAGTAACTAGGTTTGCGACAAACTTTATGGCATTGAAACAAATGGCTGACCTTCAATATAATTTGCAGTCAATGGTTACTTCAAACGAGTGGATGGACTGCCCCTATTCTAAAACACCAGAAGGATCGGCAGTGTTAGATATACTAAGTAATCATTCATTTTGGTCTTCGTGCATTTTGATCACCCGTTTGACTAATCCACTCTTGCGAGTTTTGAGAATTGTTGGTAGCCAGAAGAGGCCAGCGATGGGATATGTTTTTGCAGGGATGTATCGAGCAAAAGAAACAATCAAAAGAGAACTTGTCAAGAAAGAAGAATATATGGTGTACTGGAACATTATAGATCACAGATGGAAAAAAATAGTGGATTTTCCCCTTCATGCTGCAGGATTTTACCTTAATCCCAAGTTCTTTTACAGCTTCAATGGAGACATGCATAATGAAATTGTGTCGAGGATGTTTGACTGCGTAGAGAGATTGGTTCCTGATATAAAAGTCCAAGATGAAGTAATCAAAGAGATAAACTTGTACAAAAAAGCTTTTGGAGATTTGGGGAGGAATTTGGCAGTCCGAGCGAGGGACAATCTGCTTCCTGGTGAGAATATTTCATTAGAATGCATTATTATTTTGAGTCACATGGTTTCGATCTTGGCTATACATGTAGACGGAAGGTAATTAAGCCGTCTTTTAACTTGGTTTTATGTAATAGAATGATAGACGTGATAAAATGCATAAAATATACTGGCCATATAGTTTTTTTTTTTTTTTAAAAAAGAAAAGAAAAGGTATGAGGCCTCCTTTTTTGAGGACATGCTGCAGAGTTCAGATGTTGTTGCATCGTTTGGCTCACTTCTCTAGGTCTCTGTTTGTCAGCTGAATGGTGGTCAACATATGGTGGTGGTTGCCCAAACCTGTCGCGCTTGGCAATTCGTATTCTCAGTCAAACTTGCAGCTTAGTTCAGTGTCAGGAGAATCAGAGTCCCTTCGAACAGTTGCATAAGACAAGGAACAGCTTAGAACATCAGCGGCTTAATGATCTTGTTTTTGTTCAATACAACTTCAAACTAAAACAGAAGTAAGTGGAAACCAATAGGTTCTGTTTATTTGTATATTCCAAATGTTCTTTGGTCAAAGAAAATAGATCTTTTGCTAATCGACTGTCTTATAGGGTTCATAAGCACAAAGAACAGGAGTACACGGATCCTACATCATTTGACCATGACAGCATTGCCGAAGACTGGGTAGCAGAGATGGAGATGCACCAAGAAGACATTGAAAATCCTGATTGGAGGTCACTTGATCCCCCCTCTGAGAACTCGAGGCTTTTAGAACTTTCGGTTGATGAAGTAGAAGAATTGGGTTCAGGTAACTAAGTATGCATGGTTTGTAATTTATCGTTGAAGAATGTATTCTTTTCTACATCTTGAGTTAAACTAGAATGTTGGTCAATGTGCAGGGTTTGATGACAATGAAATTTTGAACGGATTGAAAATGGTCAAAGAAGAATGTTAAACACAACGCTGTAAGCCGGCAGGACAGAATGCAAAGACAAACATCGTTATGAGTTCACTACACCACCGTCACTTTCTTCGAGTGCCTACAGTGAGCAAAGCACTTTAGCAAAGTCGTATGTCTCGAGATACTACTCGGGCCCGATTATTTTCTTTCCCTGGCATTACTGCAGAGTGATCGATTCTGAGATGCTAATGTATACAAACGTACGAGGAAAAATACGTGATCGTGACCAGCATCCCGTGATGTGAATTGGTTGGGCAAGTTCCTGCAACATGTAGGTAGTTTACATGGTAGAAAAATAGGGCTTTGTAGCTGACAATTGGAATGCTGAAGCTTTTAACTTTTCAGATATCCTTGTAGTTATAAATCATTTTGCATGTTGCTGACAAATTTAAGCTAGGTTGAAGGAATTTGCAAGGTATCAAGAGGGAAACAATAGGCTTTACTTTGCAGAATGTTCATTAAGAGCATCTCCAAACAGGGTGGGGAGATGCAAAATCATATTCACATCTCGTTTTATATTTTCGGGAGGTGTAAATGAGAGTTCTACACTAACTGGAGAGATGTGAATTTGAGATCTTATTTAATTCTCTCTCTATTTTTTCGGCCGAGATGAATATTTTACATCTCTTCATTGAAGAAATTTCCGGCAACTAAAAATGAAAATTGCACGTTTCTGTTGTGACATATGTTCTTATCAATATGTGATTGTGTAAATCCTAAGTAGAGATAAAATAGGAAACCTTTGGGATCTAGAAGATCTTTCCTAATATACTTTGTATTACTTGGAGAGCAAGTTTCTCTCATCCTAATTACTATAAATAAAGGCACAAGGACTGGGGAATTAACACACAATTCCTCAAACCTATTCTCCATTCTCTCTTCTTCTCTTTGCCGCACCTATCTATTAAATATAGGCCACAACACGTTATCAGCACACTCTTCACGCTGTGCTTAGAAGAATTTAAAGAGAATTTATTCGTCTACAATCAGGGGAGTATTACGTTTCAATTATTTTTAATTGATTAAATCTTGATTTTATTGAATTCATATATTGTTATTGATTCAATTTATTTTTCTTCTTATGTTGAACGTGATACAAGCTTGAAGATGAAAGCCGAAATTGAAGAAATAATTTTTCTGCATCAAACCAGTTCATTCATATCATCACGCAATCAGGTTCTTCTAAAACAACGGCTTTTAACTCGATATTTTTGAAGCCCTGATAGCATGAACATTCACCATGATGCATGACCCAACTTTACGTTTAACGTATTTTAGATTCTACATAAATTGTGTATGCCTCATAACCAAAATTGCTGCAATTATGTGAATTTGATATTTTCCATGAATAGAATCTTACATATGTACATGCATTGAAACTATTATTTGCATATGCATCAAAGTAAATATGTGATTCATTGAATTATATATGCATATAATTGATTTGAACAAGATCGGAATTGGGGAATTAGGGTTCTATTCGAACCTATGCCTTTGCACCATGCAAGGTCGCAAGGCCGCAAGCCACCAGGCCCGCAGCCTGTGATGGCCCAGCCCGTCCCTTAGCCAGGCCTGCAGCCTGCATCCAATTCCCCAACAAAAGCCGAGAAACCCAGGAAACCTTAACGCCAATCCCAGCATCCACCACCATCACAGGTTGGCCTGCAGACCACCCTCACACATCGGGTCACCATGTTTGACGGCCTGAAGCTCGTCCTCAACATCAATTGACCGAGATTCGCATAATCTCATCGGATTTTTTTTGAAAAACCCGTTCGAAATTCTAGGGTTTTCACAATGAATGTCGAGATTTTTTCGATTCTCCATTCCTATTTGAGGTTTTCGACGACCCACGGACTCGATCAAAGCATCATTGTCCACAAGCCCACCGCCTCACATGGCATCGTCGATCAAAACTCGGTCTTCTTCCCCGATGAACACACCCAACTACGGCTGGGATGTTTTTGGACTTTCCCCGAGCCCCATTTGGGCTCTGACTCTCGGCCCGGTTTTTTTTTTCCGCCTTGGGCTCACCTGAAGTGACCCAAAACCCCTACTTAGGCCTATTTGTTTCTCGGCCTGCAAAAAGGAAAAAGAAAGAAAAAAAACATTTGTTTTCAGCTTCTTGGGTCTGCCTGCAGCAACCCAATCCCTGCCCCAATCCTTTCCGTGGGCCTGTAGCCCTGCCCGAGACCCCCAACCCAATTCTTGGGCCTAGGATACACGGCACAAATTTTTTTAAAGCCACCCGTGGCTTAGTTTTTGTTTTGGGCCCCGAATTTTATTCGCCTAATTATTTTAGGCCCAATGGGTTTTATATTTTTTCACCCACATTTTAATTTGGCCCAAAGTCCAAATAAATTAATTCAATTATAATTATCCACCTAAAAGTTATATTTTTGCACATACTTGTTGCATATTTGCTTGCATATATATTTGTGTTTGCCTGCAGATATTATGAACTTAAAATTCATACTTCCGAACCCAAAGTTTCGGAAAAGTGCCATATGAACCTGAAGTTTCTTAATGCGCAACACTCATGTTGAGACCCGAAGTTCTCCATGCTTAAATCCGTTTAAACCAAACCATGTCTTAGAACCTGAATGTTCTAAATTTGTTGTTTATGGAAATTTTATTTCCTAAAACACCAATCACATTCTTGTTTCCTCCATTCAGCGTATTGTCGAACCGTAACAAGTTCGATTTCACTGATTTGGAAGTTTCGAGTAGTAAACTACTTTATGTGGATACAAGACGTGAATAAGCATCCGCCATGATCCTTATTCAAAGAATTATGCCTGAAGCATATCCAATGGAAGTACCTCCCTGTTGAGGACTCCATAACTCTTCAAATCCGTTATGGACTGTTTCAAATCATGCAAAGATGAATTTTTTGCCTGAAGCAAAACATGATTGAAACTGTTACGTCCATGAATAGGTACAATTCTCGTAGTCCATTTGTGAGACTCATTTTGCTCCACCTAATAAATTTGGAAGAGCGAAATTTGACATGGACGGCCTATTGGCCGAACCCCATTGTTCTTTTTGGTTTATTTTGTGAATAATTTATTTTGTTCTCGGATTTAAGATTAGTGTTTGGATGTCACCATTATTCTCGAATAAAAGAGTTAATTAACGAAGATTACCACATGTGACTACAATTAACTCATGCGTAGGTATGTTTTGTGGGGAAGTTAGCTGTCTGGTTCTATGCTAACTTCATACCTAATCATCCCCCGACAACCTTTCAGGCTTATCCAACCTGATTGTGGGGCATGGCACTGCCCTATATTGTCCAATGGTATTAACTTTACCATAAAGGGAAGCCTTATACTCACTTCGTTCCGGAAGAACGCATTTTTTGAGCTTTAAGGATATTCGAGAGTATTATTACCATATTGAAACCAATGTAGAAAAATGGAGTAAAATTCCTTGGCATATTACCATTTTGCACTTCTTACGAATATAGTTAAATGCATATTCTAGAGAAGATGGAACGCTTAACGAATGGATTACATCCATTCAAGTCCACTATGTGGCCGGCCAGAAGCCCGCGATTCCTAAGGAATTTTCGCTATGGATGTACGTTTGGGATATCTAGGATGATTCGTGATGCGCCGTTTTGGGCATCCTTTTACCAGAAGTAAAGAAATCATACCTGGACATGTATTATACCTTAGCACCCTCCATCTCTTTTTACAAAGGATTCAAATGGGACATTTTGTGGATAGATTCAACCACCTACGGACCATTTAAATATTCTATAGTATTGGTTGATGCTTCTACACGTTTGTCACACGTGTGGTTGTTGTCCACAAGTTGCATTCTCCACACTGGTAGCTCAGATTAACAAGCTCAGGGCTCACCACCCTGATTATCTGATCAAATTTATTTGATTGGATAAGTTGGAGAATTTACATCGACATTTACATCGAACAATTTAAATCTCGATGGATATTGCATGTCAGTTGGGTTTTTTGAAAGTTGAACATCCAGTCCCATGTTCATACCCAGAACGACCCAGCAGAAGTATTCATTAAACGCCTTCAAATGATTGCGTGGTCGACTGGTCATACGTACCACAGTTCCCGACCTCTGCTTGGGGCCATGCAATATTGCAAGCAACCATGTTGGTCTGCCTGAGGCCTGTCACGACCCAACCTTATAAAGCGCGTGTCAGTTGGTTACCAGATACGAACCCGACATATCGCATCTGCGCGTCTTTGGTTGTGCGGTCTATGTGCCATTTTGCGCCGCCCTTACGTACACAAAAACAAAGGGGTCCTCAGGGAAGGATGGAAATCTATGTCGGTTATGATTCTCCTTTTAATATTCGTTACTAAATAACCTTTGACAGGCGATCTCTTTACCGCTCATTTTGCGGATTGTCACTTTTATGAGACAGTCTTCCCGTCGTTAGGGGAGATAAGAACGTCAACCGTTCCTAAAGAACGACGCGAATTATCGTGGACGTCCCCACTATGTCTCATATCGATCCCAATCTAGATCGTCAGAGTTTAACCAGACATTTCCTCTGATCTAGAAAAAGTGACGAGATCACATATACCAGCTGCAAATGTGCCTGCAAAGATGTGTACCAAATGTACTTCGGACCTTTGTCCTGAAAGTAGGAAAGCCACAATTATGGCCGACCCTCGTACATTGGCGGCTAGCCAATCAATCTATCTTATGCCAGAAGCATGGTAGATCACTCGGTTCGAGGATTCACCTCCCCAAAAGAGGAGGAACGTGGCACGAATGAATCCGCCCCTCGATCGCTGTCTCATACCTTTTTCATCTCATGAGATTAAATCCGGATTACTCCCGAGACCTGAAGTTCTTGGTCCAGTATACTAGTTTGGATGAGATATGGAATTGGAATGAGATTATCATAAATGATGTTTCATTTATATGGTACCGACATAAATGAAAAGCGACGATAACGAACCGCGTTCCGTTGATTAATATCAACGTAGAACTGATTGGTCAACTAAAAGAATCAATCTATGACGAATGAGATGAATGAAATAGTGCAATATGACGCCTTGTGGCGCAAGGTTTCTTTCATACGCCATGTGATTGATCGCAACATTACAAACGTGGTTGTAGTATCTCTGGGATCGTGATATGAACCTACATGGAGTTTCCAAATGACTTACATGTACTGATTCAAATAGTTCTAGACCACAAGAACATCCTCTTGATTCTCAAGCGGCCTTCACTTTACGGATGCAGAACTATCCGGGCAGATGTGGTATACCCGTCTAAGTGAATATTTGATCAGTTAGGGATATATGCCCCTGCGTGTATAAAATCCGAAATTGCTAAAGTTAGAAAATTAACTCGCATATCGGACTATAAGATGAATGATCTTGGGAGAACTTGACATTACCTCGACCTGAAGTTTCGAGCTAGTTTTGATGGTATTCTGGTCCACCACTCAAACTAGACCCAGAAGGTGTTACGTCTGAGTATATCCTGATCATCTGTATGCTAGATGCAAATGAGACCTTTACGGAGGGTATGGAGCATAAGGTTCCATATTGGAACGTGAGGCAGCCATATCTAAGTACCATTGGCGTTTGTTGTACTTAGCTCAAATGCACTAGATCAGACATCTTATGTGCTGATAATCTTTTGGCATAAAGCAGCACTGCGCCTAACACGCCACCACCAAATTTGGTGTTAAAGACGTTTTTCTGTTACTACGGATTTGGGCTTATTCCCTATGCATCTCAGAATAGATCACACCCCCTTGATCTTCAGAATGATGCCTACCTTGTGGGATTCGCTGAATCAGACCATTTGTCTGACCGCACAAGGTACGTTCCCGCATGGTTATGTCTTTACCATTAAGGAACACCGCAATATCTTGGAGGTTAACTAGATAGACATTTTGTTGCGAAACCTTTGAATCGCTCCAAGACTCACTATGTCTCATCACGTGAGAGATATGGTCGAGAATTCTTGTTGAGCATATTCAAAATCCTTGCGATTTTCATCCATCGTTGAGTCCCAACAACGATCCATGAATACAACGCTGCATGTATCGACCAGATCATGATACATCCAACAAAGTCAACACCAAGCATATTGTGTCTACATCAGCATGAGCATCAGAAGATTGAAGTCAAGCAGTCCAATCCCAGACAACCTTACCGACATCTACACAAAGTTACTACCAAAGTCTACCTTCCAGAAGCTTGTCCAATGAATTGGTATGCGTAACTTTCTCATTTGCAATGCTTGTAGTTTCATTTGGAAGTTTTGTCAAACTCAGGGGGAGTATCTAGAAGTATACTCACTTGATCTTAATGTACTCTTTTTCCCTACGATTAGGAGCATTTTTCCCACTGGGTTTTTGCTACCTAACTAGGTTTTAACGAGGCACCCATCCTGGGCTGATCAATACCCTTGTGAGCTCTTCTACTTGCGTCCAGAAGACGTATATAGTTTTGACTTAATGCAACTTCTCACTTTTCTCCTTAGCCTATGGTCTTTTCTCCCACCTTGGGTTTTGCCATAGTAAGGTTTTGTGAGTTTTACCCACTCCTGCATTCTTCCGTCTTTTGAGACTCGCATTCGCTACTTGTGCCGACTAAACGAGACGATTTCATCCACTACTTCTACATTTGCCTGAAGATCTGATGCGCCATCTACTTGAGTATTTGCACACTCAAGGGGGAGTGTTGTGACATATGTTCTTATCAATATGTGATTGTGTAAATCCTAAGTAGAGATAAAATAGGAAACCTTTGGGATCTAGAAGATCTTTCCTAATATACTTTGTATTACTTGGAGAGCAAGTTTCTCTCCTCCTAATTACTATAAATAAAGGCACAAGGACTGGGGAATTAACACACAATTACTCAAACCTATTCTCCATTCTCTCTTCTTCTCTTTGCCGCACCTATCTATTAAATATAGGCCACAACAGTTTCAAGATATTTTGAATTTTGTATTGGAGATTTTGTGTTATATCAAACATCCATTCACTAAAAAAATCTCCTACCCGCTAGAGAGAAAAACAGAAAGAACCCATATCCTCGTCCATTTTTGCTTTTAGCCTTGAGGTTTAATGTTAGCTTTCATGTTGGTTAATTAGTATTATAAAATTTAACCAAAAAATTAGTATATAAAATAATTTATTTTATTAAGGAGCATTAGTAATTATATTTATTCTGATTAAGGTGAATTAATAAACAGTTTATATGGAATCTCTATTTCTACTTCGATTTTGGAAGATTTTAATAAACAATTTCAGCATGAATCCAATTTTGACTCTTCTTTATTTTGATTCTTCCCCCTTTTTATTACGAATTAGTAAATGAGCCAGGATACTTAAGAAAAATCCTTCGGAAAAAAAGTCTGTACTGGATTGGAATTTTCTGGCCCAAAGAAAATTAGTTCAATTCAAAACAAGCAGGCCCAAAATAAATGTAGGAAAAAATTGAAAAATCAAAATTAAACGCCGTTGCCGGGGATCGAACCCGGGTCACCCGCGTGACAGGCGGGAATACTTACCACTATACTACAACGACTTGTTGTTAGTAGCCCGTGTAAACATATATACAAAGTTAGATTATGAGAAACCAAAGTCCATAACAATACCACCAATCGAAATGCTCGAACATATATGTTTCGTTCAATCGAGTATTTGTCTGTTGACTCAATTTGCAATCCTAGTTTTAGTCGAGCGGTAAGTTCCGGTCTCAAATACTTTGGATATGAGACCGGAACCTATGTTTAGAAAATGAACGCGTTAAGTTCCGGTCTCAAATACTTTGTATATGATACCGGAACCTATGTTTGGAAAATGAACTTATATGATCGCCATGTTTGAATTTCCATGGCTATCATATTCATGGAAGCTAGGAATTCTTTCTGATTCATTCCAATAGAATTTGGAAGATGAACTTGCTTGAATGCTTCAACTTGAAATATATCAACATCCGCGGGGATGGTTACGTGATTGCCAAGGTACTGTGGAGGCCACACTCAATCCAAACCCCATAAGATTCAATGCAGAACATCTTAATTAAGGATCACATTAGACTATCCTTTCAGTTTTCTTTTTTTTTTTTGTTTTTAAACTGAAAACTCATTTGAAAATTATTGAAAATTGAAACCAAATTTTGAATCTTCAGTTTTCATTTGTTTTATATAAATAGTTGTTAAACGAATTTTCAGTTTTCACTTTAAAAAAAAAAAATTAAAACTAAAATGAACTGCTAAATACATATCGTCGGGGAGGAAAAATAGGACCATTCATAGGAGCTGGAGTGGATAAAACAGTACTAATTATGGAAGTGATCAACAACATTGTCAAAGCTCGGGGGGGTGTATCCGTATTCGGCGGAGTAGGTGAAATGTTCTTGATGAGGGGAGATACGACTCACAAACAACCGAGATCGTCCTCTCCTTTTCATAGTAACAAACGCACAAATTCTTATATATCCGAAAGCACCTGCAACCCAGTATAAAAACTAAATACAACTTAAATAACACATGAATCATCTGTGTTTTGCTTTGCAAACTGCCAAGGGGATAGGAACTAAAATAAATTCCCTGACCAACAACCTCTCAAAAAACCAAGCTTGAAAGCATAAAAACAAGGCCTTCAATCTTCCTGTGCAAAATTAATAACAAGCGAAACAATTAACGAAGTAATCAACCAAAACCTGACGGTCAAACCCAAAAACATAAATATGTAATCTAGTACTGTTTCCCAAGAATGATGCCGATGATCGCAGAAACCACAGCCACTCCCACGATGAACTTAACGCTCATCATTGGGGAAGCCTCGGCAGTATGTGTATGGATATCTGAAGATGATGAGGTTTGAACAGGTGTTGCTTCTGACTTCTTCTTGCTCTTCCTTTTCGATGGAGTTGAAACGGTTGATCCAATGTCCCTGGATTTCACTTCCAGTCCGGCTACACTGCCTCCATCACCCTGCAACATGATCTTTTAAACATAAGTGATTTTAATTTCGCGCTCGAATTCTTGTCAGTTAAAAGCCTTGTGCAGTAGCTGAAAACCTTTTGGTATGGTTTAATGTTTTCGTTTCCCACAAGTTGTTTAGGACAATTAAGTTGGAAAACTTGACAGCCACTTACAACTTAAGATTACATAACTAGTGTATGCTGTTTTCGAAATTTCTACTGCGGTGGTATCTATAAAGGGAGTTGGGAAACAGAAATAAACATACCCTTTCTGTTACTTTGGTATCTGCCAGCTGCAGTTTTTGCTCGAGCTCCTTGACTTGCTTATCTAGAAGTGCGATTTCTTTATTCTTAGCTTCAAGTTCTTCAAGGGAACGCTTCAACGATGCTTCTCGTTCCAGGTCCTTTTGAGAATCTGCTTCTTTCTGTTGAATAGGAAATTCAAACATGGAATGTTGAGAATTGTCATCGTGCAGTTTTAAGTAAAAGAAATCTTAAGCATTGATCGGTGCCTTACCTTTTCAGCAACAGTGGCATGAGCAAGTTGTAACTCGCTATGGAGTTTTGTGACTTGTTCATTCAATAAATCTCTGTCATGGACCTTATGCGCGTGATCCTCCAACTTTGAAGTCAACTCTGCCTCTCTTTCGGCCGCAGCCGCCTTAATGCTTTCAACCTACAATTCATCTGAGTCAGAAAGAATTTTTAAAAAGATGAATGGCTTTCTTTGGCTGCCCCCATCGCATGCAGAAAATAAATATTTATAGGTTGCAGGATAAGAGCCTATTCTGTGGATTTTTTTTCATGAATTGATATTTACCTCTTTTTGCAGTTGAGCTTCAGTTTTCACCAATTTCTCTTCGAGTTCCTTGAGAGAATTCTGCAACAAAGGCTTCTCAGCAACCTCAGCCTTGAGATTTTCAATCTCAGATTTTAAAGCAGCTTCTCCTGCTTTTTGTTCTTTGAGCTGTTCTTCAAGCTCGGATATCACTTGCTGGAGTTCCTTCTTAGTATTTTGATGCACTTGATTAAGCAGGCTGTTCTCATCCATAACCGAAGATATCTGTGGCAAACGAATGTAGCTAATAAGCATAAAGCAACAATAAATAGCCGCAAAATAATAACAAGAAAGTTTGGTGCAAACCTGAGATTGTAGTTTCTGCCCTTCAGAAGAATGCTGCTGCATTAAATCTTCAATGGTCCTTTTTGCAGCCTGAAGTTGTTCAACTGTTTCGTCCTTCTCAACAACTGCAGTAGAATATTTTGCTTCAAGGTCACTTAGTTTGGACTCGTATGTAGACACATCCTCTGTAAGCTTTATATTTGCCTCAGCTAGTTTTCCGCTCTCCTCTTCAAAGTGAGCTGACTTGGTTTGCAGTTCCTCAACAATATTCTCCAGATTCTTCAGCTTTGATAGACTCTCTTCCAGCTCCGCATTTCTGGTTTCAGAAACCGCAGATGTTTCTCGAACTTGCTCTTCATACAATTTTACTTGGCCTTGTAGGGCATTTAGCTTCTCGAGCAATTCATTAGCTTCCAAATCTCTCTGACTGAATCTTCCAATGGCTTCTTGCAATTTCGTCTCTGCTTCCACAATGCGGGCTTCGGAAGCAGAATGAAGGTCTAAGGCTCTCGAGTGCTTATCTGTTAATTCTTCAACAGTGCTCTTGTGCGAAACAAGTTCTCTTGTAGTGACTTCAGTTTCAGATAGAGCAGCATTCAAAGATTCCTGCAATTCATCAATCTTGCATTTCAGCTGAACATTCGTCTCAACTAGCATTTCGTTTTCTGAGAGGGTCTGAGAAGCTTTGTTTTCTGCTTCCAAGATCTGTTTTCTGAGTTCTTCATTTGTACTTTCTGAAGATGCAAATTTAGCCAAGCTGTTGTCCAGCTCTTCTTTCAACGATGCAGATTTCCGCTCTGCTTCAGCAAGATGCTCTTCATAAACCTTCACCTGATCTTCAAGAACCTTTAGTTTCTCAAGCAGAGAATTTGCCTCAGCATCCCTGTTAGTGAAGCTCCCTAATGCTTCTTGAAGTTTGATCTCTGAATCCCTCACTAGGGTTTCATGTAGCGCTTGAAGTTCTGAGTTCTTCGACGCTGTTTCCTCTATTACTTTGCCTTGTTGCTCCAGTTGCTCCTCGGCAGATTTGAGTTTCGCTGTGACCTCGCCTTCTCTGATTCCAGCAGCATTAAGATCATTTTCAATGCTTTCCAATTTCTCTTGAGTCATCTTCAATTCATCTCTCAAGACCTCCACCAAGTTTTCTGATTCGGAAAACTTCTCAGTAAAACTACTCGATGCATCCTCTAACCTTTTCTTCTCTTCTGTGGCAACATTCAAGGCTTCAAACAACTCCCTTTCCTTTTCGTTGGCCGCTTGCAGTGCAACTTCAAGGCTAGATGTTCTTTCTTGGAATGCCTCGAGTTCAGAGGCAAGTTCAGATACCTTGTTAGAATAATTCTTAGAATCTGCTTCTGCATCCTGACATTTCTTTTCCAACGCAGTTATTTGTTCCTCGAGTTCTTGAATTCTGTACTTCTCTGTTTCAAGCATTAACTCCAGCTCGCTCACCTTTTTACCAGTATCCTCCACTTTGGTATGAGAAATTTGGACCAAATCTTCAAGTTCGAGGCTTCGCTGATGGTGTTCACTGGCCCGGCCCTCATGTTCAGCACATTTCTCGGAGGCAGTCTTCAGTTCCTCCTGAAGCTCTGAATATTGCAAAGTTGTCTGGTTTAACTCAGATTCCAGCTGGCCTATCTTCTCTTGGTATTCTTGCACCTGACCGGTCAGCTGTTTCTTTTCTTCCTCGACCTCGCTCAATGTAGTATTGAGTGCAGATATTTTTTGAGAGAATTCTTCCAGACCACTCTCAGCAATTCCTCGGTTCAGCTCTACCGCATTTAACTGTTGCTCAAGCTCTACGTTCTTTTGTTCTACAGCTATAAAGCGCGTCTCGAGCTCTCTCAGTTGCAATTTTGCCTCCTCCGCTGCTGCATTTGAAGCTTGAATAATTGCTTCAAGTTCAAGATTCTTTTCAGTAGCAGTTGCAAAAGCAGTTTCTGATTCCTTATGGAGCTCTTCCAGCGACTTCAACTTCTGTTCAAGCTCGGCATTGTTTGACAAAGATTGAGACAAAAGATCATCTTTTTTACCGAAGTTCTCTTCCGAAAGCTTCAATTTTTCTTCGAGATCACTGCACAGCTCCTTCATCAGCTGCACATTACCGGTGAGATCTGCCACAGCTGCTTCCAGAGCTTCTTTTTCTTTGGTTACTATTGCCAAATTCTCCTGTGCAGCTACGGCCCGTTCTTCTTGAGTTTTTCGTGCGGCTTCAACTAATTCCTTGGCACTCCATTCCTCCTGTAGCTTCAACTTGATTTCTTCCAATTCAGAAACCTTTGCTTGAAGATCTTCTTTAGTTGAGGCAAACAGATTTTCAAGAGCGGAAATATCTTCCTTCACTTGAGATTCCGAGGCCTTTTTCAGGCTCAATTCCTCAGTCAGTTCATTTATCAGAGCTTCCTTAGCCGAGAGTTTCTCCTCCAGGTCCACGCCTTGAGACTTTGATAGAGCCAGCTCTTCTTGGACAGCAGAAAGCTCGGCAGCGGTAGAACTGAGTGCTTCTTTGACTTTTTCATCTTCGGCAATCTTTTCATACAGGCCCTTGAGTTCTCCTTGTATCGAAGCCATCTGATCTTCCATCTCTTTCGCACTCAACTTTGTTGCTTCGAGCACTTTCTCGAACTCCAAGGCCCTCTTTGTCTCAGATTCAGCATGTGAACCACTTTGCTTGTGCAGGTCCTCAAACTTTTGCACCTCGCAGGCAGAACTCTGCAGCTCTTGCTCCAATTCCTGCATCCTCTTTCTCGAGCTTTCAAGCTCAAGATTGAGACCATCAAACGATTCCTTCACCCCGATCAGATCCTTGTGCTTTTCTTCTTGAGCTTGCAATGCCTCTTGCAAAACATTGAGCTGCGAACTGTATTTCTCCTCGGCTTCAGTGATTTGCTCTTGCAATTTCTTATGAGTGAGTTCGAGCTCTTCATACTTCTTTCCGCTTTCTCCCAGCTTCTCCTTCGTAAGCAAGACCTCATGCTTCAGCTCAGAGTTCTCTGATTCGGAATGCTTCAATGCACCAGCCAACCTTTCGACTTCAACCTCAAGGTCACTCAACTTCTCCCGCGCTTCTAGCAATTCTCTGCTCGAACTGCTCGAGCTTCTCTCAATAACAGATGGCTTGTCGTCCTCCACCAACGCTGTTTCAGCAGCATGAGAACCATCCTTCACATCTATCGATTCTCTCTCAACTTTTATGAACTCTCCATCAAAGGTTGCTTCCTCCTCTTCATTCCTCCTTTCTTTTTCAACCGGAGGCACTTCCCCATTCGATACCTACATCAAAAAAAAAAAAAAAAAAACATTCAAAATCGATTCAAATCCATGCAAAATCAAATGATCCCACGAAAGGCTTAAATTACAGATCGTAGATTGCGGTTACCTTGATCGCTTCGGCATCTGTAGTCTCGGCATCATCAGCAACCTTCATCGGGGTTTCGGGAATCACTTGTGCTTCTTCCATATTTTACCAAATTTTCACCTACCCCACTTGCTTCCCTGTGATTTTAGAACAACAACTTCATCAGACTCGTCGGTGGCTAATCTAACAAAATCTATCATTTGACAAAAAAACTTCATCAGACTTGTCTAAAAAGAAATCATCATCTTAATTGCTACACTTTCTTTTTCTAGGAAAATTCTTTTACGTGAAGGCTTTTGCAATAATGCATGAAAAATGGGTAGGGGCACTTCTGTAATTTGGATCACAAGGAGAGGACAGGTCACAGGACCGCTTTGTAAACTGTGGGCCGGACAAAGACAAACAATCTGACGTGGAATCCAAACAGGGACCCATCAGCATCATGGCACGGAATGTCAATTCAATTATTTTTCATAAATTAAAAGTAAAAAAAAAAAATCTCAATTTCTAGTCAATTATTCAGGCTACTTCTAACATCAATACATGTTAAAAGAGGTTGAAAACTTTAAGTTTTAACGAAAATGAAAAAATAAAAGGTAAAATAAATAGTACCATGATTGATTTTTTAGTGTAAAAATATGATTTTTCGTTAAAGTAAACAGCACCAGAAGCTTTTCGTTAAAGTTATCTAACTAATACTAGTAAGGGTAAATGTTATTCATACAATTATTTTTACCTCCCAGTCTTACACATTCTTGTTAGTTTTTTGTCATTGATCTTCTTCACTTCTTTTATCTAATGGCCGAAAATTGAAGAGGGAGTGTGAGAAGTTAAAAATGATGCATGAATAGCACTACCCTTAATAAAACATAGGTTCTAGGTTTTTGGCCCCCATTCAGATAAGCTAAATAATCACAACTCGAGCTAATAACACTACGCAACTGTGGAACCATAACTCTGTGATACCCCAAAATGAAAAAGCCAATAGGAAAACATCTTAATTATTTTTAAGGTAAGATCAAAGGTGGTGCTATTAGACACTACTTGTTGCCTTCCACATATTCTTCTTAATTTACAGATCGAATAAATTAAAAAAAATCAAATAAAAGAAAAACACCACTTGTTACCTTCCACATATTTTTCTTAATTTACAATTATCAAATTGAATAAATTAAAAAAAAATCAAATAAAAAAATTAACAGAGAAAAAAAAAACGCTATGTGTGAAATAGCACAACCCAAGATCAAAACCACCTGCTGCCTGCCATTTTTTGTCACTTAACTAGTGATGATCTTAACATGTGGAACGATTTAGTATGTGGGACCCAAAATACTTCATTCAACCCCATCTTCTAAGAATTCATTTTTAATATAAAGGATTGCATCATTACATGGCTTTAAAAAAAAATGATAAAATTGGAAAAAAAAAAAAAAAAAAAGCTGTACATCTTTGAATCTCTAGAGACATCTGGACCCTCCGTTGCTAATTCACAAAAAGTGAAGCACACAGTGGGTGGTGGCCTGCCACTTACAAGGTTGGTCCGTCCGGAAAGGGATCATCTCCGGATCTCTTCCTCCTAATTCATCAAGTTTGAAGATTCGGATTATTGAAATTTGATCTAAAAAATAGTGGCATATTTTAAAAATTATAATAATTTTAATCATTAGATCAAATTTCAATAACCCGAATCTTTAATCTTGATGAATTAGGAAAAATAGATCCGGAGAGCATCCCTTTCCGATCCGTCCATCCTTTATTTTTTGGCTGTATTTTTTTTTTTATATTTGAATTGACAGATCACAGACAGACCCTATCTTTTCTTAATTTCCTTTCCAAGTTGATGACCAAAAAGAAGAAAACAAAGAAAATTAAAAAGATTGTTTCAAAGTTAAAGCAGCAAGGAGACATCATTTTCTTTCTTAATTTTGTTTTCCTATTTCAGGTTTTTTTATATATAAATATTATCTGCAATAAGAGACTAGAGGATTGGCCTAAAACTCACAACAGATTAACAATAATATGATTCAAATTCATTTTTGACGAGAATCAAACCTAGAACTCTCAAATTTTTTTAACAGATCCTAAATCACCATTTTTAACTCCTTAATTACATAAAGAGGCATACCAATTATCTTTGACAAATGGAGAAAAAATTAGGTGGCCACTAACCACGGGCCAAGGCCACTAATTAAGGTTGATCATCAAGATCAACCTTGACATGACATAGACCCTATAACATGAATAGGGCGAGAAGGAACGAGATCAACTAAGTCCTTCTAATTAATTAATTCTCGATTTTTCAGATATTAGATTATCTGACTAATCTCATGACACATACGTCAGCAATCGCACGAGAAGTCAAGAGTGAGTAAATTACATATTTACATACATACAATACGTAGCATCTTTTTCTCCATCTTACATTTACTACTATTTTTGCTACTAGTAATTCAATAACATTAGTAATAAAAACTTGACTAAAACTAAATAAATTTATATTTAATTTAATTTAATTTAATTAAGAGCTGGAATCCAAGTGGAACTCGAAGTTTCGAACTGCAAAAAATGGGTATAAAAAAAAATTGGGAGTTTTTTTGTGTTTGTTAAACATTCAGTTTCAGTTTTTTTTTCACTAAACCGGCTTTTTTTCACATCTGTTTTATATAAAAGTTTACCAAACATTTTTTTTTCAAAAGCACTTTTATAAAAAAGTTTACCTTTATTTCACAGCAACTTATTATCAGAGTACAGCAGAATTAGTTTTTTTTTAAAGCATAATAATACTAAATCAACCCTAAACAAACCTCAAATATATTAAATTTACCAATAAATTCATACTTTATTAACCCTTTAATAGCGATCTAAACAGCTAAGACGACTAAAATCTCCACCTAACCCCCTAATTAAATAAAAAATAATTTCGAGATTTATTTCTCCTGTTTCTGCAAGGATCTCAAAGCAACAGACTGGTCAAACAAAAGAATGAACCAATTGGACTTTCTCATCAAAATAAAAATGAACATAGAAACTGAAGCAGATAAATGATCATCAACCAGCAATTCCAAGGTGAAGGAATTATGATATGGTGATGGTTTATTCAAAGACCTTTGTTTTTTTACAAGACGATATTCTAAACTACTCTAACTTACGGTACCGCGTGGCGGTATTAGTTTCACTGAAGAACTGGCCTAACCCATTTGCAGATCCATTCAGAGACTTCAAAGACACAAACTTTGACATAAAAAAACACATGAAAATCCTCATATGAAATTATCAATCCAATCCAGATATAAATCAAATTCTCAAATTTTGACAAAATCCAAACCAAACCCAGATTCCATCATCACCCTATGATCGATGAAAGCTTGATGCTTGATCAAATCAAAACACCACAAACAAAAGAATAACAAAACCTCTGCATCAGTCAGTAAAAACAGAGCAACCATGCACAAAATAAATAGAAAAAGAAAAAACAAAATAAGCAGAGAGAGATTGATGGGTTACCTAATGAAGTTTTGATCGGATTCTCCTGATATTTCTGGGAAGCTTTTTTTGTTGTTTTTTCTCGACAGACGAAGAACAAATGGAGCGATTAGGATTTTGGAGGAAGGTGATGAGGACTATGAAGGTGAAAAAACAAAATGAAAAGGGCAGAGGAGTAGCGAGAGAGAGAGAGAGATTCCAACTATATAAATACGAGTGAGCGGGCAGAGGGGTACACCCTTAGTGCCGTGGAAGAGATTTTTCAGTGTGACCATCATTATATAAATCGTGTTACATGTGTGCTAAAAGTTAATAACTAAAAAAAAGTAAAATTTCACATCATTTCTATTAAAACACATGATGTATCACTTGTGTTCCGGATACAATTACAAATTTTTCGTGCCGTGGGACCTCTTTGGGGGGAATCGGACAGTAGCAGCTGCTTTGCTATCTTCGCAGACTCTTAACCTCCGATTTCGTTTGAATTACAAGGAAGGACATCCAGAGACGCAAATTGTACGTTGATTTGGGATTTGTGATTTTCCCCTTATTTTTTGTTATTTTTTGACGTGTTTGGATTTTAGACCTATGGATTTCAACTGAATCTTTTTTTTCAACTGTTCAAATCTGTGGATTTGAAGCCTCTTGATTCTACAATCCATTGTTTGGACATAATACTTAAAGGTAGGAATTTGAATTTTAGGTATAAATAGAGAAACTTTTAGACAGATAGAATGATTTCATTAATAAGAAACGAACATGCAAGGGGGTGTCATATTAGATACATATTCTTCAGTGACCAAATCTTTGATTTGGGGAGAAATTTGCACAATTAATTCACCAGATAAACCTCTACATAGCTACCACTAACGATTACCACAAACACGAATAGCGAACAATGCAAATCTAACGTAAAGACGATATAAACGTCAAGTTTGGTACTGAATGGCACACAAAGACATCTCTCAAACAAGCGAGGCCACAAAAACCATTGCGAAAACAACAATGCCACAACATATTGCCGAAGCAACCACAAAACAATAAAACTAGCTAATCTGAAAATTAAACCACAAATTAGCTCGTTTCATAGCCAGGGCAACACCACTTTTGAACATATTTGTATAGAAAAGACACCACATATGTGGCCAAGTAAGGCGGCTCAGCCACGGGTAGGCTGAGCATAACCACCATGGAGAATGATTCGTAAGAAATGGATCTGACCTATCATAACCATAATCTTGCCCACAACCAAGAATCAAGGCCAAATTCGAAGGCTAACCCGGATTTGGAAAGAATACACCAACAAAATTTGGAGGGTTGTTTGTAAAAATGTGAGAGAGAGGATGAAAGAATGGGGAACGCGATGTAGCACCAAGGAGAGCGCCTGATGGGCAGGCAAAGACTAGAACAGGGAAGGGAAACATAGGTGATGTGGGGGACGGAAGAAAGGAAAAGGGTGATGTAGTGGATTGAGCGATAGAAAGGAAGGAAGAGACGGGAATAAGGACTATACGAAGGTTTAGAGTTTAGAAGGCTGCCCAGGCCCAACCCAAATCAAAGGACTGACAGCTGTGAGGCTTTGAGATCTAGAGTTTTTGGAGAAGAAAGGTTATGTGACAAGAGATTCATTTTTGAGATCTAGGTCTCGTAAATTCTGAGAAGTTATGTGATAAGAGAAATGTTAAAGAAACTCTTTCAAAGTAGGATTCTCTATGAACTATTTGTCATCTCATAGTTTAATATGATTTTCCGTGCCTATTGTGGAGCCAAAAATAATCACAAGGTGACATGTGGATTTTTGGATAAAAGATGACAAAAATACCCTTAAGGCATACCAAAATTCCTACGCGCAAGCAGCGGACAATCATCCGTCAATCAAGTCAAAAGTGTCCAAAATAGGTAACCAATTCAAAGATATTCTCATCCATCCTTATCTTAGGTAATTATTTTATAACCTACATAACATTCCATTTAAGTGGAGGTTAATTGGCTAATTAGTGGATTAATCCATTAATCACCAATTAAATCACCCATTACACCCAAAAAAGTAACCTAGGGTCGGCCATTCTTTCTTCCAAAGAGGGTCGGTCATGGTCTATAAATAGGACTCCATTTTCTGTAAAAAGGGAGTTCCAACACTCTTGCAAGGCTCCCAAAAAGCTCTCTAAACACTTTCTCTCTAAATTCTAACTTTGGCATTGGAGGTTCTTCGGCCAAAGCCCCCTCATTCATCGTGGGCGCGTGAGGCTTTTGGCCTTAACCAAATGTGTTAATTGTTTTATAGGTGCAATTTTGTCCAAGATCAAGGAGGGAGAAATTTGCATCCACAAATTGGTGCTTTCATTGAGAGAAGAAATCCACACTTATAGAAGACTCTCGCATAAAAAAGGTTTTTCTCTATTTTCTAGTTTACTTGTATTTTTTTCATACGTTCTTATTATTAGAATTTTGTATTTGAAAAGATTATTTGATAAAACATAAAAGAAGAATACAATGGCTAGAAATTTAGAAAATGCCACGAGTGAAAATTCCAATATCCAAGGAATGGGACCATGGCGATCCACGATGCTAAATGCGACAATAAGTGGAGCGGCGCCAAAGAAGAATGAGAAGAAGCCCGAAAAAAAGCAAAAAGGAACATAACCTCCGATACGATGAATGGAATAAAACCATATCGACCACCACGAGTTTCCACCACGGGAACCACCGCGGTGGCTCCGTTGTGAGGTCCATGGTACCTTCACCACGGCCTGAGCCATGCCATCCAAAGCTCACAATACTAAGGCCACAACCCAAGCCTAACACTAACTCAACGTGTTCCCAAGCTGAGCCCAAGCCTCGCACCCATGTGCATCATACTCTGAGAAGCCTGCTCTCGCCAAGCAACCCACTCTTGTGGCCCAGCCTGCTCCCGCCGAGTAGCCCACTCTTATGGCCCAGCCTGCTCCAACCGTGCAGCCTAATCTCGTGGCCCAGCCTGTTCCCGTGGCCTTCCAAGCAGCCCAAATCAATCCAAGATTAGTTCAACCATCTCGGTTTCAAATTTTCAGACCGACAATCGAACCAGGAGCATTTTCACCACATTTTTCTTCAGATTTGACATTTCCCAACTTAAATCTCGCGCCCAAAGTCTACCACACTTCCACTATTCAAGAAGACGCATTTATTTCAAGCTATTCCAACCCAAATGGAGAACAACACTTGTCTCAACAAGTCATAGAGTTGACGAGCTTTCTCACACAGCAGACGACCTTGGGGAACCAGCTCTTGTAGCGCACCGAGATGCAACGTGCCCCATACAAGAGTGTCCTGAAGTAGGACAAGGGCAGACCAAGAACCTCTCCAGCAACGTCCCGGAAAGCAGCCACTCAACCAGCTACGAACCGAGCGTTCAGGCAATGTACACTCTCGATTAGGCCCTCGAGATAGCGTATACTCTCGTCTTAGTGCAGATGAGCGTGCACTCTCGACTAGGCCCACAGACGAGCATACATTCACGGTTGGGGTCACACTCCAATAGTCAACATGAGCAACCTTCCAAGCGAAGTGTTCATTCGCGACTAAGCCCGCAAAGAGCATCATCCACCTCACATCGGAGTAGGCAGCACGACGAACTGAGAGAAATAGTCACTCAATACGGCTTAAGTTCAACTGGCAGCCTGCGAAGAACTCACTCGCATGCTAGGAACGCGCTACGTGCACCTCATCTGCATCATAGACAAACCAAACACATGGAAGAGCAACCTAGACTAGCAAGTCACGGTTGGGGGCAGCCGAGAGCTCCACTGCCTCAACAAAGGAAAATTCAAGAAGAAATATAGAGACTCTTGACCAAGCGATTGCTCAATTTCCAACGCAACAAGGTCATCGCCGATGCACTACGACGAAACATGACCAACATAAGTAGGTCACCCTTCACGGACAAGATCGAGCAGGCAGAGCCTCCACACGAGTTCAGCATGCCATATTTCATATCTTTCAAAGGGGATAAAGACCTAGAGAGACACTTAAAGCACTACCGAAGCGCAATGATCCTCTATCGAAACAACGATGACCTCATGTGCAAGATTTTCACCACTACTCTACAAGGCGAGGCGCAAGATTGGTTCTACACCCTGTGGCCACAATCCATCCGGAATTTTGACGAACTTTCTTTGGTTTTCATCAAAGAATATTCATCCTGTCGCTCGATCAAAAAGAAGTCCGACCATTTGTTCGATGTCAAGAAGAACCCAAAAGAGTCGCTTCCCGACTATGTGAGGAGGTTCAAAGCAGAGAAGGCAAGGATAGTCGGATGCAACGACTCGATAGCTAAAGCAGCCTTCCAAAAAGGACTTCCAACAGACCACCTACTGTTTGGAAAACTGATAATGAAAGAAGATCTAACTCTGGCAGACTCTTTCGCTCTGGCAAAAAAGCATGCACTTTGGGACGAAGTTCGTCGATGCCCATTCAAGGCAAATCTGAGCGATCTTGAATATGAAATTCCCCACTACTCCGAAGGAGATTCAAAGTCTGATTGGACGAGCAGTCACATCTGAAACAACAATAAACTTTACCATCATATGAGAAGAGTTGAGGGCCCGACTACTTGTATTCCACAGTTTAAAAGCTCTCATCGATGCTATCAGGTGTATTCCACAGTTTAAAAGCTCTCATTGATGTTATCAGAAATTCAAAAGCTAACTTCGGCGATAGTTGTTGCAACCCGGAAGCTCAAGTTTTACTTTCAAACGCATGTAGTCATCCTCATGACGTACTATTCCACCCAATCCAGACACGCGACAATAAAGGCGTAAACCCTGGTGGATGCAAAGTTTTCTGATGAACGCAACAACTCGGCCCAAAAGACATGCCAAGGGTAGACGAACACTGGAATAACACACTCAGAAGCAAGTTTTGTCCTCGTCACCCTAAAAGATTCTACATAAGAGCAACATGTACCGGTAGTTGAGTACCACCTCCTGTTGCGCACCACACGGCCCTAGCCGACCCTTGCTCAATGATTCAACTCTAGAGTGGCCCAATACTGGCAGTTGAGCATCTCTTGCTGCGTGTGACATGGCCCCATCTCCACAGCTCCCTACTCCCAGCCTAGATGACGCAACAGAGCGGCCCAACGATGCCTCGGAAGTAGCCGAGCACACTCTAACCCCGCCTGCTTCACCCCATGGAGACTTTTGGAATTTGCATGTCGACGGCGTATCCAACTACAAAAGTTTAGGAGCAG